TAATACAATATTTAAAAATATTATTTAAATCTAGTTAATCTGAATCATAAGAAAAGCAGATAATACTCATGGATATTCCATACATGGACCACCACCATCGTTTCGCACAACTTTACTTTGAAAATGCGCGCCAAAACGCAACTGCTGCGCTACCTGCACCGAGCCCGTGACTGAAGAAACCAAAGAGTATATATGGAAGAAACAAACTTGGTCCCCCGCCTTTTAAACAGATTTGCTAGTATATTGGGAGTAATATGGGGAGAACGTTGAGTGAAGTGGCCCTTGGTGGCCCTGATGTCGCAAGTATTTAGCCACGGCTGTTTGTTTGCGTGAGTTGTCACGTGCAGGTTACAGACGACTTGCTCGATTTTGTGTTGTTAAGTGTCATATGAAAGTTGTTTTAGGAAAACGGAGCGTTGAGACTCCTGCGTATGTATCATATTCATTCTGAAAGAAAAAAATTCCTCGAAATTTAGGTTAGATATACCTGTTGATGGATTGAAGATTTTTTTCTGTTAATAATTTGATGTTGCATTTTTAAATCTGCAGGAACGTGCTATTTTTCAACCAACTGAGAAGTGAAATCACGTTATCATGAAACCTAAGAAGACTAATGTAAGCTTTTGTACCTGTTATTTGTTTAAAATTCTTTTGTGTTCAATTGTACGTTTTTTATATTTTTTTCAGGAGCGTCTTGACTTTGAAGTTCTTCAAACAGTTTTTATGTATTGCTTTGCCATAATTGTGTGTCCAGTTCTCACATTTTTTGGAAGCAAAGCATTTATATTTGAAGGTTTGTAATATCTTATAATTTTTCTTTGTTTATAATTGTGTGCTCATTAACTATTTTCTTTTCTTTAAGGATTGTTTGGATTGAATGAAGTCTCCACCAATGTGTATTCTGCTGTGGCATCTGTGATAGTTCTTCATGTGGCTTTGGGAATGTTCATTTATAAAGCATATTCAGACCCGACTCCACTTCAGAAGCCTGGAAAACAAGATTAAAACTCTGGTTTAATGGTTTGGTGTACTAAGCAACTGACACGTGATATTTTTCACTATTCAAATGTAGACAATTTATTGCTTAGTTGACAAGTACATTATAATTGAATGTGGTGGCAGAAAATCTGTGAATAGTTTAAAATGAGTAGAGTAAGGTGAACTTGTGTTTGTATTGAAACAAAAAAAAATATATAAAAAAGCAAAATTCATCTTCATATTGTATTATTGCTAAATATTGAGAAAAGATTATGTGTGAAATACTCTGAAGTAATTGCAACAGATGTTGGAAAGATAATGTTCTGTGATGTATGTGGATAATAGTATATTTGCAATAGCTAACTTTTAGATTCTGAAATTTTGTAACCCTTATGCAATGCATTCAAGGAAAGTATGTTGAAAGCACACAAAGGCCCTTTTGCCAAAAATTATTTGATTTAATTGTCTGTTATTAAGTTTGTGATATTACATTTTTTAAATATTGTTGACGGGAGAAAATATGACGAACAATGTTTTATTGACACTTTCTAAAGGATGTCTCCTAAGTACTACAAAGTTTGCTATGTATTGGAATACTTTCTGAGTGTGTACATTATATTTATTTGTTCAATTAATAATTTCAAAATAACAATGCATTGTGCCGACTAAGAAAGCTACATAAATATGAAGGTACTGGAGTTCATTGAAAAGGTTTTTGAATTAGTAGTTTAATATTGCTCATTCTGCAAATTTTAATTTTTAACAATATGATTTACAAACTTTTAAAGTGTATTTAGAAAATTATTGGATTCACAAAAATTTACATAGGCTATGAAAGAAATTACATGTACTATACTTGAACAATTTATGAATGAATTAAATTGAATATGTCAGAAAATTTAGTTTTTAAATTATTCTGAATAAACTTGTGTACATTTCTCCTTCAGAATGGTAAGAAGGCAGGGAACTTTATTTCAGTATTCTTTTATTTTCTAGACCCTAATTTCGCTTAATTTTGATGAATAAAAAATGTCCAATGCCTGTATAGAGTATGCACTACGAATTTTTTTTTTTAATGCTATTTTATTTCCCATTAGTTCATGTAGTAGTTTCTTTACAATTACAAAGCAAAAATATTTCGGATATTAGGTCTCACTTATTATCAACATTTAAAACGCGTGTCTATTGTACGTAAAATTGTACATTATGATTTCCCTTGTTTCTTCAATTCATGTTGGGTCCGAAACTACAAGTTGGCTGCCCTGCCATTGACACGCCCGTTGTCATGAACATTAACAAAACTTGTTGCGAATGTCGAAGTATTTCGGTCAGGCTTTAGAAAAATGTATGGTTGAAAATAGCACGAGAAAATAATTTGGAACGAGTTTTACATTAAAATTTATCGAATAAATTCCGAATTCCCCTCTAGCCTTTAAATGTAATGTAGTCGACAACAGCTGGCGAGCCTAGTCACGGAGTGCGTGGTCGTGTTGAGCCCTGGGCTATGCTCGCCTCGCATCACAGCGGCGCGCCGCACCCGTCAGCAGAACGGGAAACAGCGCAGACGGAGTAGGGACGGCGGGCAGGGCCCGCTTTCATTCGCCGGAGACTACATTTCGTTCGACGCCGGCGGAAGTAGCACGACATTTTTGCATCCAAGTAGCACTTTCGTTTATTAGTCTGGTATTATTAATTAATTTCATCATGTCGGAAGGAGGGCTGGAATATGAAACCATTATCCAGGATGGACCGAAAAAGGTAAGTTTTCTTCAAAATATCAGGTGTGGGTGTGATGAACAAATGCCTGGTTGTAATAATGATAAATAGTATCATTCGAAAAATAAGGAAATAAAAAATGTTTACATACACTAGGGACAGAATTCTTCGAGAACACCGTTAGCCGCCGCTTTGGTGCTACAGGCTGGGGCAATGCCCTTGCACGTCGTCGTGCGGGTTTGTTTATGACGTGGCGCAGGTAATCTTTCTAAAATATTCTCTGATGTGTGAAATTAATGTGAACATTCATAGAACTTACCTCTAATTGGTATTTCAATATTCGTGTAAAATTTATTTCGAAACTATCTATATCGAGATTTCGGACAACTCGAGTTTGCTATCTTACCGAGATTTGCGCCAAGGAAACCTCCGTTGGGAAAGGGGGAGGGGCAATATTCATCCAGAAGAATACTTGGAGACTACGGCTTGTTACGTGTTAGCGTAGTTTTGAAAGGCAGGCCCTTCATTCAAAAGGCCATCAAAATAAAATGAATTTTTCATTACATCGTAATATGGTATTCTTGAAATCATAACTTTCATTTAGAATATTCAGGGGAGTAAACCAAAATTGGTTATGAAATATTATGAATAAAACTTGGGATCATCTGAATACCATAGTAGATTGTGGTTGGATGTTATCACCTCTCTGGTATGAGCAATATAGCCACATCCGTGAACTTTCTGGTAAGAAAGAAAGGGTTCTCAACATGTTTTTCGTTTTGTTTATTTCCAATGAGGTGCTACCACCAACAAAACTGATGTTTACAACTCCGCACAAGAGTGAATTTAAAGCAAGATTATGTAAATGTTATTTTAAATCCAGATAGATAACATCACGAAATGATTGGGAAATTGAATTAGCTTTCAATGTAATTTTAAAAACAAGAGAAAACAGTAACGGCATGTTTGTGACGTAGTCAATCCGTGGGCGTCAACCCGCAGCTTCGGTTGAGTCACCCACAAATCTTTCGTTACACTGAACAGCCGAATGAACAGCATCATTTGAAGTTACGTAAATTGAGTACACAAGAGCTATAAAGCGGTGTGTATTCAGCTAGTAGATATTTTGTCCCAAGAGCGTTCAAAGTTGCACATATCATATGCGGCGGCAAAACACGGGTTTTGCTTTGTGCTTATAAAAAAACACTTTTCGGAATGACCATGATTTCAAAGTGCACAAAACTGTATTTTATCTCAGTGATATATCTTAGCGTAGTAGTGAAATGGCGAAAAACACGAAAGAAATGTATTTTTTGGTTTTTGCTTGCCAACCTCCATCATTTGGAGTACCAACATTTTCTGAGAGGTTGCAACGAAATGTTGCCCAAAACTACTCAGGTTTTCTGATCATAATCAGGAAGATAAATTACGAGGTACTTGTACTGCGATTGTTCTAACTCTGCCCCTCATGGTCCTACTTCTCGATGGCATTATATCACTGTTCCGTATAGCAGTCCTGGATACGGCACCCATATAAAGCCACCGTGAAGTAGGGACTTGAGGTGCAGAGGAAGAAAAATCGTAGTATATATCATTTTAAGGAGGAAATACGGAGACTCGTTTAAGAATAAAACATCGGCTATGTTTAATGAACTCCGCTTATTTCTAGATTTCAGGAAACCTTTATGAATTCATCGTATAATTAGCTGTGAGCCATGATATGTGAATCTCTGTTAGACGTCGCCGCTTGGAAGTGTATCGGAAAAATTTATAACTATGTTTTGGTCATTTTAATTGGTAAAAACTCTCTTTGCTCCTTAGCAACCAACCACCTAAACAACGCTGTAAGAACTCGTCCTTAACAACGGGTATTAAAATGCCCGAGAGTCTATTACAGTTATGTATGTTTCTGGGGCGTTAAGTAGATTTTTTGCCCCGAGGATGATTTCCATACCCGAGGGGTTGGAAGTCGAGTGTGGAGGAAAACCATCTAGTAACGCTCGTGGTGCACACACAACTTTCTGGTTTACGTGTTCGTTGCTGAATCAAAAGATAATTAGAATCATTTTAATATTCTTTTGCGTCTAAAGTGAAAAGAGGCATTGTAATAGTCATTGGTTAATGACGTCAGATAAAAATGTAGTTCTAATTGCTACTGCACTCTCTGTGTAGGACTGATTTGTTCGTACAAAATGAAATAATATAGTGAAGTACCTGCGGAAATTCTCGGAGAAGCTAACAAAGGTACGGTTAAATGGTTTCCAGTAAAATCACTAGAAATATATGGAAATTATTATGGTGCACGTACGAGTTATATTGGAAAATAACCGTGTGAATTGGGCTGATGAAAAAGTACTTTAAAATACTTTCTTTCTGTTGTAATTTTCAAAAAAAAAAAAAAAAAAAATAGAACTAGCCCCATATATTTTCTCTTCCCCTTAATTCAGGTGTAGACAAAATTTAAAGGATAACATTTGAGAAGGTTTTCAGAAGAAAAATATCGTAAATTTAAAGCGTAATTAATCCAAAACTACTAACTATTACAAAAAATGTACATGATCATTTTGAAAAGCCCAATTTTGTGCATCAGTCTGTCTGAGCCAAAAACCTCTATCTTCAATTTTGTATCGTTAAATATTTTTTTGCTATTTCAAAAAATCGCGGAAATCGAAATTATATATAAACTATTATCTTAAACGTCCTTCGCATTATTGAACAACAAAATTTAATCAATTCTATTTTGAATCAATTTTGAAGGAAAAAGACTGAACGCATTAGGCGCCAGCGTTGACCACTGACTGAATGACTGACTGAATGACTGACTGAATGACTGACTGAATGACTGACTGTCTGACTGTCTGACTGACTGTCTGACTGACTGTCTGAATGACTGACTGACTGTCTGAATGACTGACTGACTGAGCGACTGGATGACTGACTGACTGACTGACTGAGCGACTGGATGACTGACTGACTGACTGAGCGACTGGATGACTGACTGAGCGACTGGATGACTGAGTAACCGACTGACTGGATGACTGCGGGACTGACTGAGTAACCGACTGACTGGATGACTGCGGGACGGACGGACTGCATGAAGGCATGCATGCATGATGAAGGCATGCGTTCATGCATGCATGATTGTCACTGGCACACAGTAGCAGACACACACAGGTAGTTGTTTTGCCGTGAAACTATTTTTCGGTATGAATTATCAACAAAACAAGGATAATGGCTACACCATCCTAGTTACCTAACACGAGTTTGAGGATTTTTTTTTTTAATTTTGCAACAGGATTTGTCTATCTCTTTGTTACCAGAACCCGCCAATAAGTATTTTGTGGCAACATTTTCTTCTCTGTCGCACGATTACATAACGTTCTCTTTTTCGAAGATTTCTATGGCGAGAAATTAAAAAAGTGGTAAGAAACAGTTAAAAATGAGAGGCTGATGGCAATTATAAATTTTCGGGAACAATTCAAAATGATTTTTTCATATCAATATATTGTTTAAAAAAATATTTTACATATTTAAGCGTGATCATTTGTGTTTGCTTCAATCTTTACTTAAATCGGATTCATAAACGTGTTGTGTTGGTATTAATGCAGGCCATACAGTATTCAAAAAGCACTGGGGTATTCAGAATCGGAGAGGACCGCAAGGGTATTAACAATACATTTACCGGTTTTTTTCAGGTCCGTAAACACACAGCAGTGAACTAGTAAACCATAAAAAATATTTTAGCGGACTTTTGGGTTTAGAGTTCGTTAGGGCTCATAAATCTTGGAATAGATATGACGTTGACACAAAACACAATTTGTAGCAATTATTGTAAACAAAATTTATTCTTACAATTATTTTAGTACAGATATATTGGAAGTAGAATGCTAGCATAATATTTTCGATAATGCCTCAAACATTCCTTCGCTCGCCAATCACCAAATAAATCATAAGCTTTCTTATAAGTGGTTACTGATTTAGAAGGCATCAAACTAGAGCTGAATATCATCTAACATAAATATATCTTCCGATACGTCGAAATTTCCGGACATTTTTTCTCAATCAGATTTCATTAACCGAAAAAAGCATTCAACTGTTTGAGCACTGTTTGAACAAAGCATCCAGTACCACCAACTGTTGTTACACAAAATCGAGAATAATGACATTTATTAACTCAACAAAGTGATGAAAGTTTATTTTGAGTAAGTGATAATCTGGAAAAACAAGAAACATTGAATGTAACTAGTCCTCTATTATTCTTTAAGAACTTGACCGGAAGGTTAACTACTCGACTATTTAGAGGACTTGTGGCATCAATAACTATTTCGCGCAGCTAGCGATTTCGGGGAACGTCCGTTCATCTAACTTTGTGAATCATTCCGTGACGGACTCCGGACGACGGATTCCAATGGTAAATGGTCGCAAACGCCCAGATATGCAAGTTTTTTATTTCGCGTTCATTCGATCAAGCATGATACGCTAGATATTATCAAACATAAGCAGAGGGGCCTTCAGCTTTTTTAATTTGATTTTTTAACAGCTCTGCTTTTTCTATAAGCTCAAAATTACTGAATAACTAGCTGAAGTACCTGGCGTAGCCCGGGTATTTATTACAATAAATTATTAGCCAGGAAGAGAAGTTCCCTGGGGGGGGCGGGGCTCCGTCAGTCTATCCATTGTATCCCTGCTCCAGTGACGGCTGGTGCCCCAACAGATTGGAGGTTGCATATCCATGGAATGACGAAAATGTAATTTCAAACATTCAAAATACAAATATTTGAATGGGTGAAAACCAGAAACGTATAAATGACATTTTATAAATTCTGACAAATCTGTTTAAGCCAATATTACTGTAAAGACGTGGTTTCATCATTAAAACCACGGCATTTCAATTTATTAAAAACACGAAAACAAATTTCCACTAAAGTATAGCTTAAAATAAACGTTTTATCACAATTATTACAATAATTACTTATACCGTTCTGGTTTTCACTCATTTATATAATAAAAATGAAAGCAATTCAAGTAAATTAATTAACACT